ATGCCGCTGCACACCAGCCTGGGTGACAAAGTACAACTTAAACTCAAAACAAACTCCAGTCTCCCACGTAACTGACTCTGCATGAATTACTCTTCCATTGCAAGTCCCGTGTCCTGATGAGTCGGCTCTGTCTAGGCAGCAGGCAAGGTGAACCTGTTGGGCAGTTACAGTAGCACCCCCCCCCCCCCGTTCTTGCTCTTCTTTCTCCTCATTTACCCTCACAGGCCCTCAATTGGCTCCCTGGATCCACTTCCCCAAAGAGTCCCCCTGCTCAAAAGGCCTGACCCCAGGCCCTGCTTTTAAGGGTGGTAGGTGGTATCCAGGCTCAGGCCATGAGGCCTCATTCTGGGCTCCCACACCCTAGTGCCGCTGCCCGGGGCATATCTTCTTGTCCCTCAGTGCTTTCAGGCCTGTCCCTCCAGCCTACCATGAGCTCCCTGAGGCAGGAGCTGGGCCTGATTCCCTGCTGTTCCCCCATCGTAGGGCTATCCCTGAGGGCATAATCAGTCCATGCTGGGGACTAAGTGATGAATGAATGAAGGAGTGAAAAAACACTGCATTAATAGCTTTGCCTTTTTCACACGAGTCAATTTCTTGGTCTGTTTCTACCCTGAGCCCAGTTTTTTCATTTGTCAAAATGGGCACCCCCTTCTCCTCCTTAGGCTTCAGTTTCTAGGCAAATATTTTTTTCTTTTTTTTTTTGAGATAGAGTCTTGTTCTGCCACCCAGGATGGAGTGCAGTGGCACGATACCAGCTCACTGTAGCCGCAAACTCCTGGAGTCAAGCAATGCTCCCACCTCAGCTTCTTGGCTACTTTTTAAATATTTTGTAGAGATGGGGTCACACTATGTTGCCCCAGCAGGTCTTGAACTCCTGGCCTCAAACTATTCTCCCACCTCAGCCTCTCAAAGTGCTGGGATTACAGATCCAACAGTGGCTGGCACCACTGAACCCAGCTACTCAAGGCAAATATTGAGTCAACGTACATGGCCATCCAAGGTTCTACCCTGGGTAGGGGAGCTGTGAGCGCTGGCAAGGGAGCACAGTTTCTCGGCTGAACTCTTGGATAGACCCATTTCCCAATGGGCAGAGCGTTCCAAGGCTTCTCACTCACACATTCTACAACTCCAAGTCTTGGGATGCCTCTAACCCATACTCTACATGGACAAGCCTTCATTGAGCAGCTAGTGTGGGACAGACAGGCCAAGGAGGACACGCAAGAGGAAGGAGACCCAGACTTTGCCTTAAGGAGATCACATTCAAGCAGGGACAGAATTACTCCAGAGTGTGGCAGACAAAGGGACCAAAGCCTCTGATTTTCTTTCTCTTTCTTTCTTTCTTCCTTCCTTCCTTCCTTCCTTTCTTTTATTTCTTTTCTTTCTTTCTTTTTCTTTCTCTTTCTTTCTTCTTATTTTTCTCTTTCTCTCTTCTTCTTTCTTTCCATTCCTTCCCTCCTTCCCTCCTCTCCCTCCCTCCCTCCCTCCCTCCTTCCTTCCTTCCTTCCTCTTTCCTTTTTTAAGACAGAGTTTCACTCTTGTTGACTAGGCTGGAGTGCAATGGCCTCAGGTGATCCATCTGCCTAGACCTGCCAAACTGATGGGATTATAGGTGTGAGCCACCGCACCTGGCCACATCCAATCTTCACAGAAGGAGGCACAAAGAGGTTTGGCACCCAACAGAAATGAGTTCAAATACCGGTGTCCCTAGTTCTTGGCTCAAGCTTCTCTGGTGCTCAGTGACTTCCTATGACAGGGAATGACAGGGGTATGTGGTGACAAAATCATGCTTCTAGTGCCAGGCAAAGTGACACTCACCTGTAATCTCAGCAACTCAGGAGGCTGAGGTGGGAGGATCCCATGAGGGCCTACCTGGGAAACATAGGGAGACCCCATCTCAAAAAAAAAAAAAGGCCAGACATGGTGGCTCATGCCTGTCATCCTAGCACTTTGGGAGCTCAAGTCAGGGGATCACTGGAGGTCGGGAGTTCAAGACCATCCTGGCCAATTCTAAGATAAGGAATTATGGAGATCAGAGTTCTTGTTACGCAGAGGAAGTCTTCAGATACTATGCTGCAGAAAGAATCGACTGCAAATGTTTCCTATCAGACTTAAGGGTGTGTTGATGTTACTGCAGGAGGCTCTAATGAGGCATGTCCAACCCCCACTTCCCATCATGGCCTGAGCCAGTCTCTCCGGTTAAATTTTAAGAGTGCCCTGGCTTAGAAGGAATTCAATTCAGATAATTGGGGACCCTTAGAATTTTATTTCTGGTTTGCATTCCACACTCAATTTTACTGAAAACAAAAAAGATGTCAAATGATAAGGTCATTGTATTAACACTGAATAGGTCTAATTTCTTTCATTGCTGGTTTGCCATGCCCGTGAAATAAGAAAGTGGATCTCAGATTGTGTTTGGCAGTGCTGGTGTCAGACCCTGGGCGGTGACCTCCTACCTGGCCTGGAGACACTGAGCACCCTGTAGAAGCGGCTGAACAGAGGTCCTGAGCAGAAGCTGGGCTAGCCTCTGTGCAGAGGTACAGACACGGCCTCCTCTGCACTGAAAGTAGCACAGCCCTTGTGTGGGTCTTGGGGGCCGAGGCTGTCTGGCTGCTGGGTCAGCATGCCCTGGATGTGGCTGTTTAGACAGAAAAGACACTGAGTGCTGCCCACCGGCCTCTCAGACGCCCTGGCAGGACACTCCTCCCGGTGCCTTCCAGACGGGACCTCTTCCTGCCTCACAGTTACTGAACCCCTTCCTTTTCTCCAAACTGACACGCTGCCAAACCCCCAGGCTCTCCCATACCCATCATTTCATTTCTCTACATTTCTCCTCCTTTGTAGAAAAGTTTGACTTTTCCCCAGAAGGTTTGATAATTTGAGATATATTAACAGAAAAAAAATGCAGACAAACTTTATCATGGGCATATACATGCACAAGAATCACATAAAATGGACAGATGGTTGGGGCCTTTATACCATTTTGGGCATACAGAAAGAATGGGGGCTCGGAGCATGGCCAAAAATAGGTATGTTGGCAGGACAGGTTAATGGGATACGTAAAGAGAAGTCATGGCTGGAAGAGGTGTCTGGTTGTATAGTTGAAGCCTCACAGGTAGGCAGTCCTCAGAGAAAACAGTACATGTATCTTTAAGACCTTAAAGGTGTGAGACTCACAGTTCGTCTTTTCTGCATCCCTGCAAGTTCCTTAGAGAAAGCCTGACTGCCTCTGCTGCTTACTTCACTTTATCCCTCTGTGGATGCAGCTCTCCCCCACACACAGCAGGTGTGCAGGACTCTTCTGCCTGCAGGCCTCTCCACGGCCAAATCAACGTACTTGCTTTCCTTCTCCTCCTTGCCCTTTGTCTGCCTGTGGAACGCCTCCTAATTACTGGAGCTCACTGTCTCATGAGACTCCCTCAGCATCCCAGGAGATGTGACCCGCAGCCACTCTGTGCTTCACTGTGGTGCCAGCCCCCTCCCTTAATCCTCTGGCTCTAACCTCACCGTCATCCATGTATTCACGTGCTTTACCTCCTAATCTGCCAGGACTTTGCGGGCAGGGTCTGCGTCCTGTTAGTGTCTGTGTCCTTAGCTCCATGTGGAGGCCGGCTCAGAGCAGGTGCCTGGCTGAGTGACTGAGCAAACGAGAGCGCTGGAGGGACCAATATTGAGAGAGAATTGCAGATCCCAGGCCTTGGAGGATCCTGAGGGCCCTCACCTGTGGTGTGGGAAGATGTGGAGCTGGTTCGAGAATAGCCCCAAGAATATTGCCTTCCAATGGCATCCTTGCTCCTGGGGAAAGGCTGTCCACCCTGTTTTCAGGTCTCGCCACCACTAGTTCTGCCACCATGGATGGACGATGGCCAAGGTGGGCTGGGTCCTTCTGGAAGGAGACAGGGCAGCTGTCAGAGGGTGTGCTGTCTCAGTGCAGAGCCAGCCTTTGTCGTTGGATGGGACTTGACTGGCAAGGTCTCCACCTGTCCTCTTTCTGCTAAAGCTGTCAGGAGAGGATGTGTAGGGGGCAGTGGAGGGGTTTTGTCTGGGACATAGGCCATCTGGGCCAACCTTCTCTGGGCCTCAGTCACCATGTCTGTAAATTGACAGGGCTGAACTCTGTGCTTTTTAAGGGTGTCCCTGCTTGAAGGGTCACTCCCTCCCCAGTGTCCTGGGGTGGAGGGAAGAGTCCCAGTGTGGGGAAGGCAGCAACAATGAGGATGATATTTGTTGGACATTTGCAGTATACCTGACACTGCTGAGCAGTCATTATTTAATCCTCACCACAATCTAATAGGAAAGGCACTGTTGTTTTTTGAGACAGTCTTGCTCTGTGGCTCAGGCTGGAGTGCAGTGACACCATCTAAGCTCACTGCAACCTCTACCTCCCAGGTTCAAGTGATTCTTCCTCCTCAGCCTCCCTAGTAGCTGAGATTACAGGCACCTGCCACCATGCCGGCTAATTTTTTGTATTTTTAGTAGAGATGGGGTTTCACCATGTTGGCCAGGCTGGTCTCAAATTCCTGGCCTCAGGTCATCCACCTGCCTCGGCCTCCCAAAGTGCTGGGATTAAAGCTGTGGGTCACTGAGCCCTGCTGGAAAGCACTGTTTTTCATCACTATTTTACAGATGGATTCTCTTAATTTTGCAAAAGTTATGTATATTATTCAAAGTTGTATTTCTAGAAGTGGTGGCTGGGCAGGATTTGGATTTCTGGGTTGTTAGACCACAAAGCACACATTGCTAGCCTCTGCGTTGTGCTTTCCAGCAGGACAAGCAGTACCTGCGAGCTCCTGAGAACACCTGAGCTGAGAGCACTGAGGAGCACCTGGACCCAGTAACTTCTCTGAATCTCATGTGGGGGGAAGATGCGCCCCTGCCATGGAGCTGTGTTCTATGGCAGCCAATCACTGGTCAATAAAAAAGTAATCAGACAATGTCAAGTGTATATATAGTTGATATGAAAATACACATTTGAAAATTTGGAAATCCTTTTTTAAACAAAATTTTTTTTCAAATGAAACTTAGAATTTATTAATGTATTTACATAACTGATAACCTTTAAGCGATGGCCTCATAAATATAGACTACAACTTTACATATGCTAAGCAACAGATATTTGTTTTTCCCCACCAAAATACTTGGGTTAAAAAAAATTGACAGCATTTACACCAACTTCTTTACTTCCTCTCTTCTTCCTTTTTAAACAACTGCTAGTCAATTAGAACACATGAAATTCAATTTATTCCAGGCGGCTTCTCTACCATCAGCATCTTGATCATGAGAGCTTATTTTAAAAAGGTGCCAATAACATGTTTGGTGGCACACACATGACAAGGTCAGAAGCAAACCCAGGGTGAGCTACGGATCTGCTGCTATCATTGTTAATTTACTGTACGCATCCTAGGCTAACATAGTCAATGAAAAGTGCTTTAGAGATGGCAGAGATGAAGTCATTTCCATCAGTCCTATAAATGACCCATTTTAGCTTCAGATCATAATTGTCCTGTCCCCATTTAGACTATCCTACTGTATTTTAAATGATACAACTCCCTCTGACAGTGGTAACAGAAACCAAGGAAATGATAATCTCCACAAGGTCTTCCTTTCCTTTGAGAACCACAAAAGTGTTAATTTTTCCTTTACAAATGTTACATAATATCTTGATCACAAAACTACTCAACAATTTAATCTTACCACCCATGCAATTACATGTTCCTTTTCAGCAAGGTCAAAAGCCAATGATGTAGTCCTGTTGTACACTAGAGATTCTTTACATAATAGAAGTCCACAGACTGAAATATCATTGCTGCAGTCTTTGGAGAAGAGATTAGTCAATATCTATGAATACTTTGTGCACAGAGAAGACTCAAGACCAGCTAGGTGGAAACTGGTGGCAGGGTCCCAGCCCTCCTGTTAACTTTCAGGAACACCTACTTCATCATCAAGTATGAGAGGCTGAGGTTCGGTCAGCAGCAGCTCTGCTTTGGCTCTGAAGGCTGCCTTCGGAGTTTGAAGCCCTTACCGCCAGATGGCGGTTGGCGTCAGTGAATGTAATTCTTCGACTAATTTCTATAAAGAGTTCATTTATGTTTATCGCTTTTTTTGCGCTGGTCTCTACAAAAATTGCATGAATAGAGTTGGCATAGTCTTTTCCATCTCTCTCCATGACTTCTCTTACATCAATAAGATCACACATTTCCTGCAATGGCAACTATAATATTAGGTGGGCTGTGCTGTCGATGCTCTTTCACCCAATCCTTTAATGTTGAAAATGTCTCTTCTTCTGTGATACCATAAACGATTACAGCTGCGGCCGACCCTCGATAGTACGTTGGTGCTAAGGCATGACATCGTTCTTATACAGCTGTAACCCAGATTAGGAATTTATGTAGCTCATTTTGGTACAGGACAGTCTTGGTCATAAAAGATGCCCCTTGGCTGGGCATGGTGGCTCACCCTTGTAATCTCAGCACTTTGGGAGGCCGAGGCAGGCGGATCACCTGAGGTCAGGAGTTCAAGACCAGCCTGGCCAACATGGTGAAACACTTTTTTTATTTTTTTATTTTTTATTTTTTTTCTGAAATATCAAAATATTTATTGAACAAAAGAATAAACATAAGCCCCAAAGAAAATATGACAAACTTTATACTTCAAATGTTAATTTTCCCCTAATTAATATAATTGCTTTCTGTTCGTGGTTTACAAAATGATTGATGTTTCCTTTCTATTCCTTTGTACCTATGTTTATCTAGCAGAAATGTTCTTAGCTCTGGCTACAGGCACACAGAAACTTGCTATGGATGATCATGTTCAAATGTTTATTTCCTTTCCCCAGAATAAACTGGGGGACTGGCACTGTATGGATTGATCACAGGACAGATGCTGAGGAAGCTCTGATCATCTTGAGTTTCACGTTTATGAGAAAAAAATGGACGCAGAGGCTCTATAACAGGAATGTCGTTGAATGTGTAGATACTGCACCCATCACTAACATTATAAAATGAAATGGACCTCATACCTACATCCAGGTAAACCCCCACTCTGTGCAACTGGGGACTCACCCAGAGAAAAGTCAAAGGCATAGTGCTAGCGGCAAAGATCTGTCCTTTTCTGGAACCCACAGTCCAGAAGCCGAGTTCTAAAGAAAGTACAACGTCCCCCTGTCCGTTCACAGATTCCTTGCAAATGCCCACATCCCATATTTTGTTGGTGCCCACATCCACCTCCCAGCAATGGCGGCCAGAAGTGAGGCGAGCGGTCCCCAGGACTCACCGCGCGGAGCTGAACCTTTCAGCCTGCCCCCTCCTGCTCCGTCTGAAATCCCCACGCCGGACGCTCCTCGGGTCTTCAGAAATGGTAAGACAGTTGCTGGCTGTGTCCACGTCCGAGGTCATATCCACCTGAAACTTCCTCATCCTTGGGTTCAACCTTACAGTAGATTTCCGCATGGGCTCTCGTTCCTTGGTGATGGCAATCGGTGCCCTCAGCTCGTACTTGGGCTTGATGTCATTCTTCTGAGAGGCCACAGGGCATAAGGGGCACAGCACACCTTCCCCATGGGGCTCCTTCTGCAGCGAACTGACGCGTTGGAGGCAGCAGGCATATCCACATTTCAGTTGCACCAGTTCTTCAAGATCATTCAGACAAACTGGACATCTAATTCTTTGACGTGTTCAGCCACAGCGAATGTCTTCCCGAGTTTCCTTCCCTGGCCTCCAGCTGCTTCTGCTGACAGCTCAGGTCTCCCTTTTTTAAAAAAATAAAAATAATAAATAATAATAATAATAAATAAAATAATAATAATAAATAAAATTTTAAAAATAAAAAAATAAAGAAAAGATGCCCCTATTGTTGGGTTGATGTTTGGATCAAAACTGTCCTCCACAAACCGCCGCTCAATACTCGATTTACCTACACCTGGATCCCCCAGCAGACACACTTTGAGCTCCCACAGCGCTGTGGCCCGGAAGCCGCCCTAAGTTGAGGAGGGAGAGGCGGGCCCAGCAAGAGCATCCCCTGGCGCCCCCGCCGCCGCACGGCCCAGGCCGGGTCCGCGCAGAGTCCGCTGCTGCGCGTCCCCCAGCCCTGGGTCCGACCCGTCCGCTGCCAGCCGCGTGGGGCCCGCCTTAGCAGCCCGGACGCCGCCGCCGTCTTGGGACGCCGGCCGCAAACGAAATTTTTAAATTTCATTTTTAATATATTTAGGGAGTCTAAGTGCAGGATTCTCCGTGCATATATTGCAGAGCGTTGGAGCCTAGGCTTAGAGTGTACTCATCACCTGAACAGTAAACATTGTACCCGAAGGCTGTTTTTCTTCCTCTCCCCTCTCCCACCGTCCCAGCTTTTGTAGTCTCCAAAGTCCATTATTCCATCTTATGTCCGTGTGTACTCACTGTTCAGCTCCCACGCATGCATGAGAACATGTGGCATTTGACTTTCTGTTACCGAATTATTTCTCTGAGGATAATGGCCTCCAGTGTCATCCACATTCCTGAAAAGACATAATTTTTCATTCTTTTTTATGTCTGAGTAGTATTACATTATACATATATTTATATATAAATATATATGTATGTATATATTTGTATATATACATACATATATGTATGTTATATATATACATGTATATATGTTATATATACATAACATATATGTTATGTATATATAACATATATATAATGTTTAACATATATGTGTAACATATATATAATGTTAAACATATATGTTATGTATATATGTTATATATACACGTAACAAATATATGTTATGTATACACGTAATATATGTTATGTATACACGTAACAAATATGTATGTTATGTATACACATAACATATGTATATGTTCTGTATACACGTAACATATATGTATATGTTCTGTATACACGTAACATATATGTATATGTTATGTATATATAACATACATATATAATGTTTCTTTATCCAGTCCTCCATTGATGGACACTTAGGTTAATTCCCTATCGTTGCTATTGGGAATAGTGCTTCAGTAAACACACACGAGCAGGTACATTTTTGATATAATAAATTATTTCCCTTTGAGTGTCTACCCAATAGTGGGATTGCTGGATCAAATTGTGGTTCTAAATCCCAGCACTTTGGGAGGCCAAGGTGGGTGGATCACGAGGTCAAGAGATTGAGACCATACTGGTCAATATGATGAAACCCCGTCTCTACTAAAAATACAAAAATATCAACTGGGCATGGTGGCACACACCTGTAGTCCCAACTACTTGGGAGGCTGAGGCAGGAGAATTGCTTGAACCCAGGAAGTGGAGGCTGCAGCGAGCCGAGATCGCACCATTGCACTCCAGCCTGGGCAACAAGAGGAAACCCCCGTCTCAAAAAAAAAAAAAAAAAAAAAATTGTGGTTCTATTTTTAGTTCTTGGAGAGACCTCCACTCTCTTTTCCATAGAGGTTGTACTAATTTACATCTACCATATATAAGTACGTATAAGTGTTCCCTTTTCTCTGTATCCTTGCCAATATCTATTGTTTTTAAACTTTTTAATAATAGGCATTCTGATTGGTGAAAGATGGTATCTTATTGTGGTTTCCATTTGCATTTCTCTAATGATTAGTGATGTTGAGCATTCTTTCATATGTTTCTTGGCAACTTGTATGTCTTCCTTTGAAAAATATCTGTTCATGTCCTTTTCCACTTTTTAGTTGGTTTTTTTTTTCATTGAACTGTTTTTCTTATAGATTCTTGATATTAGCCCTTTGACTGATAGATAGTTTGCAAATATATATATTTTTCCATACTGTAGGTTGTCTGTTTACTCTGTTGATTATTTTGCTGTGCAGAAGATTTTTGGTTTAATTAGGTTCCATTCGTCTCATTTTGGTTTTGTTACACTTGTTTTTAGGACTTAGTCATACATTTTTTGCCAAGGCCAACATCCAAAAGAGTTGTTCCTAGATTTTTTTCTGAGATTTTTATATTTTGAGGTTTTATCTTTAGGTCTTTAATCCATCTTGAGTTGATTCTTATATGTGGTGAGAGGTATGGGTCCAATTTCTTTCTTCTGCACCAGGCAATCCAATTTTCCCAGAGCCATCAAGTGAATATGGTGTCTTTCTCCAGTGTATATGTATATTTGACTTTGTCAAAGATCATTTGGTTGTATATATGTGGCTTTATTTATGGGTTTGCTATTCTGTTTCATTGGTTTACGGGTTTATTTTCATAACATTACCATGTTGTCTTGGTTATTGCAGCTTTGGAATATAGTTTGAAGTCAGGTAATGCGATGCCTCCACCTTTGTTCATTGTGCACATGATTGCTTTGGTTATTCAGGCTCTTTTTTGGTTTCATATGATTTTATGATTTCAGGATTTTTTTTTCCAATTCTGTGAAAAATGAGTTAGTAATTTTACAGGAATTACACTGTACTTCTGGGTTGCTTTGGGCAGTATGGCCACTTTAACAATATTAATTCTTCCAATCCATGAGGGTGGGAAGTTTGTCCATTTGTTTGTGTGATCAGCGATTTCTTTCATCTGTGTTTTGTAATTCTCCTAATAGAGATATTTCATTTCTTTGTTTACATTTATTTCTAGGTATTTTATTTTTAAAGCTACTGTAAAGGGAGTTGCCTTCTCAGTTTGATCCTCAGCTAGGCTGTTACTGGTGTATAAAAATGTTACTGAATTCTGTACACTAATTTTGTATTATGAACTGTTACTGAATTCATTTATGAAATCTAAGAGTTTATTGGTAGAGTACTTAGAGTTTTCTACATATAGATCATAGTATCAGTGAACAGGAATAAGTTGGCTTTCTTTTTCTAGTTTGAATGCCTTTGTTTTTCTTTTGTCTAATTCCTGTGGCAAGGACTTTCAGTACTATACTGAGTAAGAGTGATGAAGGCGAACATCCTTGTTTTGTTTTAGTTCTTAGAGGAATGCTTCTAACTATCCCCTGTTAAGCGTGATTTTGGCGTGAGCTTGTGGTATATGGCATTTATTATGATGAGCTGATTTCTTCTATGCCTAGTTTTCTGAGGATTTTTATCATGAAAGGATGCTGAATTTTATTAAAGTATTTTTGTGCCTTTTGAGATAATTATATGGGTTTTGCCCTTAATTCTGTTTATGTGATGTATCATGTTTATTGACTATGGACTTCTGTATGTTGAACTATCCTTGCATCCCTGAAATAAATCCCACGTGATAATGGTGCCGTATCTTTTTGATGTGCTGTTGGGTTCAATGTGCTAGTGTTTTTGTTGAGGATGTTGTGTCTGTGTTCATCAGAAGGATTGGTATGTAGTTTTCTTCTTTTATTGTGTCCTTTTCTGGTTTAAGTGCCAGGGTGATGCTGGCCTTGTAGAATGAAATAGGAAGAATTCTCTCCTTCTTGATTTTTTAGAACAGTTTCAGAAGGATTGGAATCAGTTCTTTGTGAATTTGGTAGAATTCAGCTGTGAGCCCAGCTGGTCCAGGGCCTCTACTTTTTGGCAGTTTATTATTATTATTACTGATTCCATAGACCTGCTCATCGTTGGTCTGTTTGGGATTTCTACTTCTGCCTGGTCTAATTTCAGGATGTTGTGTGAAAACTTGAAAATCTATAATCCAAACTTGTGTGATGCATGAAAGAAAAGCAAAGGATTGAGCAGAGTACTGGGAGCTTTGTGTAGTGGTCTGTTTTTATTTTTTTCAGCTTTATCCAAATGTTTGCAATCATGAAAACTCCGGGTCCAAGCCTCTGGGCTCACAGGTTCCCTGCCTGTGACAGACCCAGTGTGAGGCGGGCAGGGCAAGACCCATTTTATTAATGCATTTGTTTGGCTACATTGCAGGCTCTTTTGACAGGGCAGATTTCTTGTACATCCATGTGGAAGCTGTGGCCCTTTGATGGACTGTTTAGACTAAGTACCAATTAAAGCTTTCAGTAAGCCCAGCACTGGCAGCCTACAGCCTCTTAGTTACCTGGGGTGAGCTGTTAAATAAAGGATTGCTGCCGAAGTGCCATGCTGACAACCATTCACAGTGGCTGGCCAGTCCCTGTCCTGCCCGGCCATCTGTGCACCTAAGGGCCAGAAAGCTGGACACGCTACCCAGAAAGAGGTTTGGTCTAAAGAGAATTGTAACTACAGTTGAGGGAATTTTATGAGTTTCCAATCTCAGGCTGCAAATTCAGGGAATTATTTTTCCGGGTACTCAAAATATATTAAGATATTTTATTATAACTTTTTACTAGATATTAACAATTCAAACTCTCTCATTTAGAGTGTAATCTTCATCAGGACAGGATCTATGCCATTTAGGAGCAATATTTGACATCAATTTGGGGCTTATATGCCAAGCCCTTACAAAATGCCACACACACACACACACACACACACCCCTTCCCAAAGCCTGAGAACTATCTATATCCACATTTTATAGTTTTTAACAATGACTATAAAGAAGCATTGGGCCTGTCTGGAGTCATTCAGATGCTAAGTGATGGGGTAAGACTTTGGCCAAGGTCCCTCGGACTGCAGATTCTCTGGGATGTGTTTTCCATGTGGTTTACTCTCCCTCTCACAGTGTCCTGTTGGTAAAAGTGAAAATTAACATCTATAATGTTTACTATGAGTTGGATGCTATCCTATGTGTTTAGGGGAATGTGCTGTTAATATTTTTCCCCTTTCACAGTTGAGAAAGTTGAGGTGTATTTACATACCCCATTTGGACTAACTTGTCCAAAATACTGACGCTTGTGTCACAGACAGGATTTGAACCAGAAACCTAGTACCAGAGGCCATCCTCATAACTGCCCTGCTGCCACAGCTCTTCAGGGATGTTGCGAATGTCTGTGAAGCTTATATTTTAGCACAGAAATGGTTGATTGGTCCAGAAATTCACATGGCAATTATCATCGGTAAGCTTCCTCTGTCCCTCCATGTTTATAAGCAGACCTACCACACAGATTTACGTAAAGATGCTTTGTTCCATG